GCCAGTCCAAACATCTGAATAAGACTGAGCCAGGTGACCCAACACAGCCCCACAGAAACAAATAGTTTACAGCTGGGACAGAAACCAGCTCAACCAACAGAGTGTCTGCCTCTTAGTGACACCCAACACCTGTTATTCCTGTTTGGTCTAAAGCTACAGTCATACAAGCTATTTTCATTGTCAAATACATATTATCTGCTGCTCTGTTTGTTCATGGTAGATTCAAAAGTATAACTACCACCATGAATGACATACACTCTTTAAACCTGACGCAGACTATTGTGACAACCTGTACTGCACACTGTAAACCCCACAGCAGCAACACAACACTGCATATAAGACTATGAAGAGACTATGCGCTTCAGTAAATCTGATTAATCAATGTGAAATGTTGTGTAATTATTCCTGATATACTTCCTGATAGTTTTCTGGCTGGCTCCTCAAGTAACTCCTTCTTGTCAAAGAACACCTCTCCGTTTAGACACACAAAAGGCCACTTTGTTTTAGTGCCAGAGCCAAAGCCTGGCCTACATCAGACTATTACCTGTTTATTCCTATTTGCTCATACTACCACAATCTACTGCCAGGTAACCATGCCTGTATTTCTCCATTATACAATCCAGAAACTTTTCATTTCATATCCTAATACATCAGCTACATTCCTCTTACCAAATATTACCAATATCAACCAGAGCATCTTAGGTATTTAAAAACCTAGTCAAACCTCCAATTAATGGATAGTGCCTTCTGAGGGCTACAAAAGCAAACCAACAATATGTTACTTATACCTATTCAGTATGTGGAACTTCAAATCAAAACAATATAATATTACGAAGCTCTATGTAGTACCACAAGATATACAAATGTATGCAACAGCCACAAAAAAGGAAAAGGCAAGAAAAGGAAAAGAGTATGGCACCTCCATTTCATCTATTATTTTCTTACAGTATACCAGGGAACCCACTGTGGTGCATCATTTATGATATCATATATTATAATATCATGTTCTTGTAAAAACTGGTATGTTTTGCTGTTCTCAAAAGCTGAGTTTAAACACTTGAATGTAATGTCACTCGTGTAACATCTGTCACATTCTAAAAGCACCAAGTGTCAGCCCCAAAATATCATCACACATTATCCAAGGTCAGAAACATATTGACATTTTTGTTAATATCACCCAGCCCTACATCAGTTATGACTTGTAAATATTGAGTCTCAAGTCAGTTAAGGGAATGCTGTGAAAGCATGACAAGCATATGCAGTGATGTTACTGAGAGGATAAATGTGTACAACACAGCTGTGTTAATAAAAACTCATTTGGACTCCTATGGAAGGAATATGTCAAGCAAAACCGGTATGGGCCCATCCTGAATTAGACACTAATACAATGTCAATGGCTCAGTGCCAAATAGTGTCACCTGATGGCATCATTATTCCAGGTGTTGATGCTCTGATTTCCTTCTGAGGAGACAGTTGTTAGTGTTTGTAGATAATGGCTTTGCGTTTCAAAAGCTAATGAAATATTGTCTTACACTGTGTTGAAATAGATTTCCCCATTAATTGCTGCAGTAAACTGATATTGCTCCCCTCAGTGGTGTCTGCAGGCCTGGATGGAGCACATCACACAGTCTCTCACAGCATCTACAGCAGGCTAGCATTTTATGGCAGCGTATTCTCTTTATAACAGCTCTTTACCGACCGTTCAGTGGGTTAAATAAAATTGGCATGGTATTGTGTGGTCAAATACACACAACCAGCAGACTTGCAAAGCGGATACACTCCTCTCACAGAAAGACAGGCAAGGCAAAAATTAGCTAGCGACAAGCTAACTTACCCGTACAGTCACCACAGTATTTTCCTCACCGCGGTAATACTAATATGGGTTTGCAAAAGTAGACCTTTGGGCAAGGAGCTAACTGTCACAACAGGTGAATGTAGGCTAAACAGGAAGTACCTATGTGTGCAAGGCTAGACCTGCGAGCTGAAGCTAAGTTTGGCTAACGCTAACCAGCTCAAAGTCCAAAACAGTTGGAGCAGTAGGTGGAGGAGCGTCCGCACTCAGCGACACCCCGCCCGGCTCCGGAGGAAAATGACGAGAGAGAAGAAGGAATACAACGGTTCTCTTCCCACTACGTATAAATGTGACACTGGAATGAACCTAGGTGTAGCTAATAGAGCTGTCAACTCACTTGTTTAGACCGTTGTGGAGTTGCTCGCTAGCTGTCAGGAGAGTTGCAGCGAAGATCGTGTGTTTGAGAAGATGAATCACTCGGGACTTTAGTGATGCGCCTTCCGGTTTGGAATGCCACCGTAGTTTCACGCATGCTCTGCATTATCTCCGTTAAGCACCTTTTACATTCACTGGACAACAATTCAGTTTAGGGATTTGTTTATGCCATATATGTGTGTAAATAATGCATACATTTATTTATATTTATAAAGAGAAATATAGATAGATAGATAGATAGATAGATAGATAGATAGATAGATAGATAGATAGATAGATAGATAGATAGATAGATAGATAGATAGATAGATAGAAGTTTTAGGCACCAAAAGTAAAGTGGGGATGCTTTCAAAAATAAGGCCATGATTTGTTTTTTATTTATCAGTCAATTTCATACAAAGTGCAGTATACAGAAAAAAGCTCAATCCAAAGCTAAAGCTAAATTAGTATGTCTCACTGAATGAATGTGGGACTGATCAGACACCTCCATGATGGTGTTGGATAAGACGCTAAACATCTAATGTGCCTAAAACATTATAACTGTATAACTAATAAACATATAATAAACATATGTATTATTGTGCATTTTAGTTATAAAAGGGGCTTTTGGGAACATTACTTCCCCATCAGGTGGTATTATTTCAACATTTACTCCTTTCTTATTGGATGTTCAAAATGAGAAAATATGAAAACTTGTTAAGTTATAGAAAGCTTTTGTTTTACCCAAGAAGGCATCATTTAGGGAAAATCATAAGATAGATTAATGCTTTGTTCGAAAATTAGTGGTTGTTTACCTCATGACAATCATTATCCGGAGGTCAGACTTCTGGCATCTTGATGAAACTCAAGTTAATTTAATATTTCCAGTTGAATAGGTATAACACTGCTCACTTGTGTGTGTGAATGTGTGTGTGTAGTCTTGTCAGCAATCACACAATAAACAATTTCAAGCAGTTACAAATCTTTAATTGTCAAAAGTTAACACTGTCAAATATTACTGTTTTATCCGTATTTATCATGTATGATTTGACGTTTTTTAACCACATTTCTAAAAATTCATTGTTTTTCTATGTTCAAAGATAACTAGTTAAGTAAGTAGTAAAATATATAGTTAATACAATGGGTAAATAAATGAATGATGACAATGAATCCTTAGCTGTGGTAGTGGACAACAACATGGATAAACACCTTTTTTATTCCACTGAATCCTCCTTAGAGATTCTAGCTCAGATGTGTCTGGATAGATTTCACCACTTCTCCTAAAAGCAAACATGTTGATCTTTAGTGATGAACTTTCATTTGGCCAGTCCTTTGTACATTTATTTGCCCTTTTTAGTTAATCCAGAGAAAACCCACAATTGTTGTGTAAAGATGTACAGTATAACAGCACTGCAGTTGGCTTCTATTTAACCTTGATGAAAAAGTAATTGTGAAATAAATGAAGTAGCTGCTGATGAATGGGTTTTAATTATGTTATATGCACAGCTGAAAAGAGGTTGGGGAGTGCATTTTTGTCTAATGCTTGAATGACAACACCAGGCCTGCCCCAAAATTATCCAACGTTATCACACCATGCAAGTCCGTAAGGTTTCCTGCACTGCTTAGTCACTGCCTCACTGAGCCCTGCTTTACATAGAAATACAAAGACAAATATCACAGGAAACATTTTTTTTGTGTATAGCAAGCAATGTTGGGTAAGTGCCATGTAGAAAATGAGCAATGTGAAACTGTTTCAATCACATAAATGTGTACTCTGACTTTCTCACATGTGAAAAAACAAACATGAAAAGAAAAGACATGATTAATTGCATTTCAAAGATTCAACATGAGAGTAGTATAGGAGTATAGGAGGAGTGTGTAGACAAAATAGCACAAACTAGTAAATCACACTCCCTCATTCAAAATACATCATGTTCAAATCCCAGGGTGCATCTCTCTCCGTCAAGAAGACGGTGGGATCAAGAGACACTTCTGTTGCTTTCTGGTTAATATTTACATTTCAAACTTTTTGCATCACTGTCAGTAAAGAGAAATTCCCCCAGTTCACTTCCATCTTACCACTGTTGCGTTCAAGGGCTCAGGCATACTTGTTTATTCACAGGTTTGTGCCTTAGGGGAGAAAGTGGTAGTTCAGTGCTGGAACTACTGTATCCAAGATCCAGTTTGAAATGCTCATAGGTCTATCTATATGTACACCATAGTTATATCTCACTGGGGGGGGCACACTGCTCATGATATTCCTCCAGTAAAGTATATGAGATGAAAACAGCTGAAAGGAGATTACTGGAGCTGCAGTCGTTTGCCAGACAGCTTGCATAGGGAAAGCTCCAGTCGTCTGCTCTCTTCTACCTTTCCTGCTTCCAGAGATCCAGGAAACTGCAGAGGGCATGCTGACTTTTTCCTCCTTTTGCCCTTTTTTCAAATGTACTTCAGTCTCTGTTCTGCTTATCATGACAAAATTGCTTCATATTTGCTACATACTTCATAATACGGTTTTGTTTTTGTTTTGTTTTTTGTCTTTTCGGCAGTCATTGGGAAGATATGCAGCAAGGGGGAAAAATCATAAATTATCTAAGATAGCCCTCAGTCAGTAAAGACACAGTAACAGTCAACAGACGGTGCACGACCACGCCCTTCATGTGGGAGGATAAAGGGACATTTTCTTACAAGACATTTTACAGCTACAGTTTTATCTACCATCAATTATAGAGTTACTGTCTTAATGAACAGGAACATTTAAAATGTACGGGTATAAAGTGAGGAACTAGGTTTGAGAGTCATCCCTGCTTCTCACACACTTCAGCAGTAGGCTTAGACAATCCTCACTTAAATCCCCCCAGACCCCAAACCCTAATTACATGTGATAATATAGCCTGCACAGACAGTGGGCCTTTATCCAGCAGATCCTCACTGGGAGCTGCTGTACGTGTCAAAATCACTTCTGTGGTCTTGTTAGTGGTGGTGCTGGTGTGTGTGTGTGTGTGTGTGTGTTTGTGTGTGTCTGCGTAAGTGCAAAGAGGAGTGTCTGTGTGTGTAATGGGTGGTGTTATGGGGTTTCGGGGTAGTCACACCTCAGTGCTGATGGCTCGGGTATTGGTGTAGAAATCGGGAGGCCGCCCTCGCTGAGTCTCCCTCAGCAGGGAGCCTCGGACGGCGGGCAGCGGCATGGCCAGTGCCTGGTTCTCATAGTGTGTGGGCATGTAGGTGATGCGCTCGCCACCGTTGCGCATCTCATCAGTGGTACGGATGTAGAAGGGTGAGTCGTAGGGTGAGCAGGTGGGGCAGTAGCTGCGTCGCCCCCCTCTGGGTTTGGTGGGGTTGGAGGATCCAGGCGGCTCTGGCGGTGACAGGGACAGAGGGGTGATGATTGACCCGTCCAGGCCGGTGACACTGCAGGCGTTGCAGGCAAAGTGTTGCTGAGAGATGGAGCCGCTGTCAGACCCATTCTTCTTACAGCAGTAGTACTACAGAGAGAGAGAATCGCCCAGTAATTGCCTTGTCAAGACAAAAAAGCAATTTTCATTTTCATTTTATGACAAACAGGCTGTACTTCGGTCTACGAAACATTATTGAGTACCATGCTACAGTATTTTCTTAAAAAAATGAAATGGAAATCGGAAAATAGTTTTGAGATCAATAAACTTTTTCCAATATATTCAACATACTTCAGGGATTTCATGGTTTCAAGTGTGTTTTTCTTGATTCTAAAACAGTTAACTATTTAAAAATCTTTTTTTTTTTTTTTTAAATACTGGAACCAATTTCTGAATATTTTTGAAACAAAGCTAACTGCAATGATCAATTCATGCTGGTGAGGTGGAATTTAAAAAGCTATTGAAGAGGGGGGAGGGGTCTTAGGAAAGGTTAAAATGTAAGGAAAGGAAAGATAGGAGGAAGGAGGTAAGAAAAGAAGGAAAAGGAAAGTCTACTGTATAAGGAAGAAAGGGGAAGGAGGAACAGACCTGAAAATGAGAGAGAGAGAGATGAATGCGGAAAATAGTATGATGCTTACATATATACACACACAGATAAAAACAGAGGTGTACCTGGAGTCTACAGTAACAGAGCACAGCTATGATACACAGAAGTATCACTGTGGCCAGTATTCCTCCGGTTATGACAACAGTTCCAGCTGTCATCCGACCAGCTCTCCATCAAACTCTGACACAGGAAGTTAAATCATCATCATCATCATCACCATCATCATCAACACACTCTTCAAAAGATCATGCAAATGTCAGTATTGAACTAAATGGAAATGCAATCTGCTGGAATATGTTCTCTATGAAAGTATGGTAATAGAGCAAATTCACAGAGAACAGAAAGAAAACAGAGAACATGCAGTAAATTACTTAAATACATTAATCTTTCTGTACAGCTCCAACACAGTGCAAACCCTTATACCTACGAACATTAACTACCATCATAAAAAAGCCTAGTGTTTAGCATTTTAAACTTAATTTCCTTTTCCTCCCAATTTTATCAGCTAAAATGACAACATTATGTTTATTTTAACTTTATTTTGAAAATGTAATATCAAGTATCTAAGTCAATGTAACTATTTTGAAAAACATGAATTTCAAACACATAAAGAGACGTTTGTTTCTTTCAAAACGTTTTGCAAATGCAAATTTTGAATTGATCAAACAGAATAAACTCTGTTGTGATTATTGGTGTTATACTCACGTTCAGCAAAGTTGCTTAACACCTGAAAGCAGAGAAATAACAGACATAGTTAAATTGAAGGATGGATGGATGGATGGATGGATGGATGGATGGATGGATGGATGGATGGATGGATGGATGGAGGAACTTACATCAGAAGAGTGTTCAAAGGTTGCAAAGGTGAAGAGAAGTCAAATTGCAGGTCAAAGATGAGAGGTCACACCGCTGGAGAGCCACACTGTATGAACATCTGTGAGGAGAGATGGAGTAAGGAGGGAGGAAGGAAGGAAGGAAGGAAGGAAGGAGAGAGGAAAGGAAGCAGGAAGCGAGAAGTGCAACAGCTTAACTGAAGATATTTTAAACATTTTTCTCCACAAGGTGGCACTGAGAGAACAGAACAAAAGCCTCTCGCACACAGACCAACAAACACACAGTACCAACACTAGAAGAATGACTAGGCATGAGGAAGAGTGTTTCATTAGAGAAGAGCATACATGTGCGCGCACACACACACACACACACACACACACACACACACACACACAATTACATATGCATTACATATAGACAGAGGGGTGGACAAAATGATAGCAACACCTGTATCCATAGTGTAATGCAGTGCTATTTAATGTTTTTTCCCCTTGTAAATACCACGCACAATTTCATTCACTATCACAACTGAGAAATAACAATACAATCTCCAAGAACATATTTGCTAGGAGGCTGCTGACTCGTTCAGTTGTAAAGGTGTTATAATTGTGTCCACTTCCTGTACATGAACACAACATTGATGTTTGAGTTTCTGTTGCTTGTACTTCTTTCATTGTCTACTCAGCCATGGTCATTATCATTACTGTTCAGTTCTTCTCAGGACATTTGCAGTTTCACAACAAGAGAGGAAAGAAACTGGATCATTTCGAATAAAAACATCAAAGATATTTACTTACTCAGCCTCCACATTCTCAGACATGCATAATTCTGAGCAATCTCTCTCTCTCTCTCTTTGTCTCTGTCTCATCCACACTCAAATATGCACACACGCACGCACACATATACACACACACACACGCGCACACACCCACACACACACACACACACACACACACACACACACACACCACACCACACACACACACACACACACACACACACACACACAGCATTATGGAAGAGCAGCAGTAAAAATGATTTAGCAGTGAGGGGCTCAGTTGGTTAGGGGTTTAATCTGCAGGCTGAGGCTTGTACAGGTGAAGTGAAATCCATTCCTACTGATAAAAACAGGTCAAATTCATGATTGAGTTGGAGGATGGAGGAAGGAAAGGTAGGATGAAAAAAAAGGAAGGAACGAAAGGATGGAAAAAGTAAGAATGTTTGTGAGAAAGAAGGAAATAGGAAATTACAAGAATAGAGAGGAAGGAGTAAAGGGAAGTGGCACACACACACACATATTTACACCTCTCTGCATTAGCACAAGAAGCTCATTTCTCAGCCTGTCACTTATGATTCCTACCATCTGAAATATGCCTGTGTGTGTGTATGTGTGTGTGTGTGTGTGTGTGTGTGTGTGTGTGTGTGTGTGTGTGTGTGTGTGTGTGTGTGTTTTCATGTGATAGATGAAGTCTGTCAGTCCTTCATCATGCAAATTCAGATTAATTAGAATCCAGACTGAGATCCTAAGCCTGGTGCCTACATTACCCACAATGAAACTTGACTGCCGACAGATGAGAGGCTGGGCGACTCCTTCCTCCTGGCATCGAAACACACATGAATGACAAGAAAATAATTTACCCACACGGTTCATCAAGACTTCCCAGTTTCTATCATTTCATCATTTTACATCATTCACTGTTCCTGTTGTAATGATTACATAAGGGGAATAAATGCCTTTTTGGGCCAATAGGCATCACATGACATGCAATTTCAATTGTGGCCACTGTTGCCTCGCAGTCTCACGGCCCAGCACTTCTCCTGAGGGCTTGCAGTAGCTGCTCTACTTAGTCTGACTGTCGTCTGAGTGACAGTAAACTAAGTTGGGTTTCTGGATACAATCCATCCATTCCCCCTGCGCACTGATTTTGTACCTGACAAAACTTTTACAGTGAGTCTCCCTTAAATGACTGTTCATTACTCATTTCTTTACAGCCAATGCAATCTCGAGCTGGGTGTTTTATAGCTGTGATGCAATTAAAGTTAAAATTAAAATAAACAATAGTTGGTGTGAACGGCATCATTTCTCATGTTTTCTGGCTGTTTTCCTTTTCTCTGTTTGTCGCACTGAGGGGTGATTGCGTCAATCACAATGACACTCAAAAATGGACCAATGTTTGTGTGCATGTTTGTTTTAAAGCATTTAAATGGTGCTGGATTATATACTGTAGTCCACACACGGTTATTACAGTCATTTTTATGAAATATGGATACAGGGACAAACCAGAGAAGAAGCAAAATATCTCCTGAGATGTGTTGAGTATCTCACACTGATGATATTTTTAATTCTGGCTGAATTTACTCCAGTTCAGAGAATCTGAATGCGTTTCTTCATTAAAAAGACAATGAGCTGGAAGTGCTGTCAGACTCTCCAGTGAGGAGAAGAAAAGGAGGCGGTGCTGTTCCCACAGGTGGCGTTCTGTACCGCTACACTGGTACCAAGCTCATAAACCATGTTTCTGTCAGAAAGTACACTAGCCTTCAATTATTCGTGGAGACCAAACGGGATGGCAGCTGACAGATTCCTCTTAACATCACTCTTCATAACTCTCTCCAGTGCGTGCAATCTCAGACTCAGTACACCACACTATTTTTCATAATTAATGCCAGCACGGTGACTTGTACTGCAAGGAGGAAATGGAAATGGAGTCACCGCTGTCACCACGTCATCTTTTACTCAGACACAGGCGCACGCACACACAGGCACACGCACACACACACACACACACACACACACACACACACAGACACACACACACACAACACACACACAACACACACACAACACACACACACACAGATTTGTTTTCCTCCAGTTTACATGTTGCTCTGCAAGCACTTTGAGACAAACTTGTTGGTTAGATTAATTTGAGTTGACTTCATCTGACAAACTGTGGAGAAAATGAGATTTCTGCATCAGCACACACACACACACACACACACAAGCAGAGCACAGACAGAAAGAAAGCTGGATCAGTCACCACTGGGTCCAGATTAGAGTGGCCCTGAATCCCCCATACTGCCTGAAGAGCCCTGTATACTGATAAGACTCTCTCTGCATGCACACACATACACATACACATACACATACACATACACATACACATACACATGCACATACACATACACACACACACACACACTGCACACATGCAGAATTCACAAAGGCCAACATGCGCTCAAGACTTACCAAATAAATCAGGACATCTTAATAAAACACTCATTAGAAAAGACAGCAGAGTCTTCGCAGCACTTAGCAGCAGTCAGTGCACAGGAAGCACAATAGCTTAATTTACTAAATAACCAGCGAACCTCAACACTCACCACAAATGTCTGATTGACAAATAGGAGTTGATACTGCAGAATAATGTTCATCTAAAGTCTGATTCATTCCAGTACATTTAAGGCAGCGGAGCTCATGTCTCGGCAGGCAGCACCTCACGTCTTCAAGGAATCACAGATTTAAAGGGAGCTTTTAGTTTGTTTCTAGACATTTGTCGAGCTCCTGTGACACTTCACACACTTCACTTCACAGCTGTCACACCGAACAAACAACAAGAGCAACTGTGGCTCTATTTCCCTCAAAGTGGAAAAACATTATGATATGAAAATTAGGTGCGTCTCAGATGAATCGAACTCCAAGGATGATGAAATCCCTGCAGAGTCAGTACATCACCTTGATGGAGTTGGAGCGGCATTCTGGGCTCAGCACATTTCAGCAACAGATTCGGTTGGGACAGACTTTTCTTTCGTCTCCTTCTTCTTAAACCTTGTATCTGCAACATTTTGCCTTGAGGCAGAAAATATATTTAAAGAATATTTTTAAGTTCATCTTGGTGGGTTTATAAGCATCCTGAGGCTGCAAAAAAGCTGATGTTTGCGAGTGATGATATCTTATGTTGCATCTTATTGCAACACATCATACTCTGATACACTATACTAAGGGCATTTTATGTTATATATTGATAAGGGCCAGTATATTTAGGGCTCATTGATGTTTTTTCTCATTTGTATTTTCCAAAACTACCATCTACAGCTCCAAAGGTTTTCAGTTTCTCGTGGTTTGTTTTTTTTTTTTTTTTATTTACATTTAAATTACTTAGAGGTAGCTTGTTTCCAGACGTCTGAATCACTCAATACAGCTCTTAATTTGTTTGGCAATTCAAATCAATCTCATTGACAACTGTTTTCATCAGCTGAAGAAACAATCGATCGGTCAGAACTTTGTTGGTGGGAACAGGAATGGAGACGTCATCTTCCTAAATAGCTTGCAAACGACCTGACTGCACCCCCGAGGAACAGCAACAGAAAACACTGAAAACAGTGGATTTTTTTTTTTTTTTTTGTACATCAAATTACAGAAATAAGAACTATTAAATCCACATATTCCTTTCATTGTTGTGAAAAGCATTAACTGCCCCTTCTGTGTCAGCTGATTGATTTGCTATTGATTGGTTTGGGCCAAAACCAAACAAGTATTATGTAAAGTATTATGATCGGATATGCTACAATGTATTATGCCACAGCACACATTTAGTTAAACTGCACTGCATTACACTACATGTCACGCTATGCTATTATATCAAACACCACACCGATATATTACATTATGTTTTATGATACATGTCACTATGTTTTGTTATGATTAAGTGTAAACTGTAAGCAACACTCTGTAGCACTCCATTATGTTAGATTATGGTGTGATACAATTCGCTGCACTGGACTGGACTGTGTTGATGTTTAAAAGCTTTTACACCTTCAATCATCAGCCTTTAATATTCTTTATCAGTGCACTGGACACTTCGGTTACTGCTTTCCTTTGTCTCCATCCTGAAA